AAAAATGTTAAGCATGTGCAAATTTATTAGTCCTCAGAAAGATATGCGAATAGTGCTAATTCGTTTTACAATGCGACTATTTTATATCTCAAATTTAAATTGTTTAGCAAATTTTATTGAATATTATGGAAAAAAATTATCATAACGCAGAAATATATGTGAAATAAACAAATTCGATTCCTTTAGAAAAATCCCGAGATACGTTCGCGAAATTATCGTGGCGCAATAGCAATCGAGGCGATCTCCTCGATGAAAAGACCGTACGAGTGTCGGCAGCCTCATCGTAGAACGAGGTGTCATTTCGAGTTCTCGTGTTCGTCATCCGGCCGGAAACCGGTTCCGAGCGGCTGTCCACTCCAAGTTCATTGATTCCCAATGACGCGAGAAGGCTTCCTGCCTTGCCAGGGCTATAAAAGATTGCGCTTTCGTTTAGATCTCTTAACGCATTTTAATTTCATCTCATTGATTAATGAACCGTCGCAAATATTAAAGGAAAGGCTTATTCGCCTTTATTCATCATAGATTTATTCTCATAGATTGGCGATGATTGAAATCAAGCGTTAGAGGAATCCTTACGCTTGTGAAAATATTTGTTTTCGATATTGTTATCGAGAGAAGACGAAGAATACTACTTACTGCTGAGCATTCATTATATCGTCGCAACGACCTGGAAACCAGTCGTTTTACACCAATTGAAACAAAATAAAAACTAAATCACGGACTGTCGTTGGTCGAATCACACATGTAAAAAAACAATGATTTTTATCTAATAAAACTATAAAACTATAAAAAAAATATATAAATATATATAAGATCTTATATAAAATGTATAATAGCTTTAAATATATAATTTTTTTTGTTTTAAGATTTTCTTTGATATTTCCAATATATTGGGGATTTATTTTTCTTTAATTCACAACACACAAAATTTAATAATTATATTTTATACAAAAAAGGCAAATAAAACGTTATAAAATTTATTTATTAACATTAACAGAATGTATTATTATCGTACTGCATCTCTTTCTTTTCAAAAAGTTTCTCTCTCCCTTAAAATTATAACTAAAATCTGTTATATTTACATACATTCTTTTTCGATAAAAGAATGTTTTAATTAATTTCGTGATTCATTAATAAGATAAAAAAAAGCCTCTATCGAATATACATGTCCTAGTTAATAACCCGTACCAGTTGGTACACTTGATAGAACGTTCGTAATCGGTCGCAGCGACCGGCAGTTCGGAAATTCCGTGTCAAGGTATCGTGTAAATACTGACAGCAATAGCAAGTCATCCGCTAAAAGGATTGATAAAATCTCGCGATTGAGAATTTGCATCGTTCCGAGGAAACTCGTCGGGAATATACACATTGATAGAATGAAAAATAACTCGCAAGACGAACGTCAGCATTCCTGTGCATTGTGCGCGTATTCGCGTCACCTAGCGAAGAAGAGATATCGAGACTGTTGAACCAGGCGCGTCTATATTTCACGCTTGTCACTGAGAGACGAGTTTTAGAATCGGGGAGGAGTGCCCCGTCTGCAGCGAAAAAGCTTTGAAGTCGAAGCGAGCTAAGTACGTTCGTTCGCAATTACATATGTGGGTCGCGTCACGAAGAGACCGACCACCCACACGAGCGAGCGGAAGCCAAGAGATCGCGGTGTATCCTTTTATATATATCACCTCGTACACTTGAAAAAAAAATTATAACAACAAGAGATATCTTATAACAGTACTTGAAATAGTACTTTTGTATTATACTAATGCTACAGATATAATTGGATGTCGCCGCAAATTCTGAGGCTATATTCTTACAATTAATGCATCCCATTACGTTATCTATTTTTATGTGTGTTATACATCTGATAATTAAAAATAATTACTTGGTACCGATAAAATAATATCAATGTCACATGGCAGTACATTCATGATGTATGTTAGTTATAAATTTTAAATGCATATTATTATTTTTGCTAATGTGAAATTTTTATATAAGAATATTCATCTTTTTTTTTCTCATTAATACTTTACTATTTATACTATGTAAATTAATGTAAAAGCGTAATGTAATTAATAATGCATTTGTAAATATTAAGAGGAATGAGTATTTCTTATTATAATAATTCTTTCAATTCTTTTATTGTAAAAACTCAAGTATGCTAATATCACCATAAGCAGCATAATACAATCGTTTAATAGAAATGAGCAAAATAATAATCCTTAGACTCGCGTGGACTTGTGTAAAGAATCGAGAGTGGAAACGTATAGTGTCTCCTGCAAAAAAATAAAAAATTGCACGCGGAAGCGACGTGATCACGACGGGGCTGGGGGTTTGTTTGATGCCACGCGCGAGCACGTGGTAAAATTCGACAAAGAGTGACCATGCGTCGCGACGCGCCCATAAATGGCGCGGGCGATGGTCCATAGTCGTAACCAACCCCACCACGGTGTGCGATGGTCGAGAGCAACGAGGCTTCTCCAAAAATAGGACGACGACGACGACGACGACGTCGAGACGTCATCGTCGTCGTCGACGATGCTCTCGACGTCGCGGCGTTCGTCTCGTGGTATAAAACGCATTATAATCAATCTTCGTAATGTAATAATTTTACAGTGAGACAGTTTTCGTCGCAAATTCATCTGAAAGCCTCGCGTAAATTTGCATACTACAGAATATTAAAAAAAAAATTAATGCACTAAAAGAATCAATTCACTCTTGTCGAATTGATTCAAAATTAATCAATAATCATTTTAGTGAAATTGGATTTTAAATATTAATTTATAAAAAGAGGGGAAAAAATTGTCATTTTCGAAAGACTTTTTTATCTCCACGAAATGTACGATTTTAATTCTAAAGAGACTCGGTTCTGTCAACGATTTATATCTGAGAAAAATAAAAGAAGAGAATAAGACTGACGTAAAAAGTTAATTTTCATCTCTCAATTTTTTTATAATCACAAAATATCTCTACGTTAACAGTATTTCTTTTTTCCCTTCAATTTCTAAAATTCCTACCCATCAGTTGCTGTCATTTCTTCTATACCGTTGCATTGTATCTATAGACTCGATTTACGTCTGTACACACACGTAAATCAATTTGCGAACTGATCTATGAGTACACCTACGAAAATTCACACCGCGGTCGATATCAAAAGTGTTCGCACCTACGTGCGCCAGGCCGATCGCGCTTTTGCAAAAATCGACACGAGTTAACGCTAATGCGTGTAGCGCGCGCGATTGGAGGCAAGCCTATTTATAATCCAGCCGTACATCGTCCAAGACACACGGTAGTGCCAGAAATAACAAATCTAAAGTCGTAGGTCATGCGAATACGACGAATAAGGAGATGACGCCTACTGCGATAGCCATTAGCCGATACATTCGATTCAGATATGCGATATACGCTATAGACCCTAGATAATTATTAGAACTAAAAAAATTATAATTTTTCAATTAATTTTTGAGACAATGGCAATCAAGGTACATTTAATAAAAAAGCGAAATCTATTTGTTATCCATCAATCTATTCTGTTGTTCAAACATTCGACAACGGTTGATAACAATAAGGCTCCTATTAATTTGTAAAATCTTCAATTATAAGATGCATTTTATTGTATATAAAATGAAAGGCAACCTTAATGCAAGTGAAAACTGAATATAATTTTGTAGTGATCCAATTCGATGAAAAAAATTTCCGGTTTCGCTGATTAATCAAAGCGACATTCAGAAGAGAGACTGAATATAATCGATTCGTGTGGGAAGAGACAGTGTTTTCGCCTGCACTAAAAAATACAACACCGGAAGAGGTTGGGCGGCCAAGAAAGTTCCTGCTGTCCAGTCGGGCAATTGTGATGTCGACTAATTAAGCCACGGCCCACGCTTAATTTTTCTTTTCGTACCGCTCGCGAGCCCTCTTCCGCATCGATAACATCTTCGTCATCTTCCCACCCCCGAATCATGCGTCGCAGATTTCACTACCATATATTGGATATATGTATTGTGAAAGCATAGAAAATTAGACTACGATAGATGATTTCAGAGAGACACATGATACCAACTCGATTCACAATACAATCTCGTTTGTCAAGTCACGCGTTGAAAAGAACAACCATCATCAACCGAATGCATCTAGAAATTCAATCACACGTTACCGATTATTTATTAGTATTTCCCCATTCCTATAGTATTTTTCTTCCTGAAAATATAGATTATATACAGAATTTGTTTTTCCCAAAAAAATTATTACTTACTTAATGACAAATTTTTAAATAAATTTATAAACGATCTGCTCTCATTTAATGATTTTACTTATTTTTCCAAGTTTCTGTCCGTGACAAGATCGTTTAGAGATAATTGTACGAAGAATTTCGCTCTTTTCTCGCGTGTATGTCTGAAATTCTCTTACGTTTGTTCGACGCATCTTTCACAAACGACAATCGTCTCGGATCTCATCCGTCGTGTAATTACACCGACATTATCTATTAGCCACGGTTGTTAAACCTGCGACAATGATTCTTCTTTTCCAATCGCATGGCTCGCCTAGCGTAACCAACAAGATATCGAATGCTCCAAGATTATATATCGTGATTCGCTGCTCGGTTCCTCGTACGGAAATATCAATGTTAATCGTCACCCATCTTTATAATTCCAGCAAATAATTGATCAATTGTATTTGAGAATCAAACAGTAACTCACTTACGTAAAAGTTTGTTAGAGAGGAGAGAGAAAGAGATGAAAAATTATTTTATTTAACGAGCAGAAGAAAATGGAATAAAAATTCTCATGTATCCTCCACTGAATCAAAATTAACGTTGTGTATCTTGTATATCCAGCTACTCTCCATACAAACGTCAATTTAATATCAAAAGCGTACTCTCCACAGCACGTATTAAACAGCCGTTACGCAAAACATAAAAAAAAAATTTCAGTGCCGCTACTTTTTTTCGTTCCATTTTTACGCTGCCGCGAAACCAGTTTCGTTTATCAGAGATGCAGACTTACCACATGGCCTGAACGGACACCGGCTTGAAGATGTGCTGACGGCCGCAAACACTGACCTTGAAACCCCTGTAAAATAAGAAATCCGGAAGTGAAATCGCGATGATCTTTAGGAACCATAATGTACCGAATAATGTTATTCTTATATATAAAGTATCGTTCCATTTTATCAACGAGACAGCCAATAATTCTCTGTGTTTTATAAAATATTCTTGTTTTATAAATCGCAGAAAATTATTTAATTGAATGAAAAATAACACGATATAAGAATAAAATAATATAAATAATGAATAAAGAAATATTCTTTTTTTACTTTTTTCTTCAATGCTTGAACTTTAAGATTTATAAATTATATAAATGACATATAAATAATGTAACATTTGATTTTTGTAAGAAATCTTATACTAATTGCGTTGTGTCTATCCTCGTTTCCAAATGTCAAATTATTAGCGGCGCAAGGCGTGACTTTGGCACTAGACTTTCACTAGACTTCTTCTCAGAAAATACTCGACTGTATAAACTAATTTTCTCTGAAAGTTACTTCTACATTAATACTAATTTTCTCAATTCTAGTTTTATCGAGTTCGACTTGGGGACGAGTCAACATTCTTCTTGGTTCAATATTGAATCGATTATTTGACGGGCGGTCAAAGTCGCGAAAATTTCGCCGTTAGAACCGAGCAATCGCCGCTTCAACAAAACTGCAACGGTAACGCAATTCTCTCGGGATTACGACACGGAAAGCGGGAGAGGGGACAAGGAATGCACTCGACGCATAGCCATTAATTACGTATTATGTAAATGAGATCGCGCCGCGCGAGCATCGCGATTCGCTGCCGACAAGATTTCCGAGAAATCGTTGCCGATTCCGCGATCGTCTCTTCCAGAAAGAAAACGGTACTCGCGTTTGTCGTCACGTGTTACACGGAATCTTCGAGATATATTTTTCTTGTAAATTATTTAGATGTTACAAAGATGAAATTAGATTTAATTCAACTAGTGTAGCTTGGCACACTAATGTACATGTCGATAATTTTCGAGTTGCAAATAATCAAAAATTAACTTTGAAAAATTTAATTCATAAAAATTAAAATTATGTAGTTACATATTTTAAAATGATTCGTTTTTATCAATACACATGCGATATATTGTATTTAAATTTACTCTATAGTAACACGGTTGCAACACATTTTGTTATTTTTTAACATTTTATTATAAAACCTTGAATCTAACAAATGTCGACATTTATTTCCCATAATTTAAATACAGATATCGGGCACTATTTAAAACGTTCGATCGTGCACCGCGAAAGCAGTTAGACGCACGGGAATGCGCGTCAAAATTTGCGCTTTACGCAACCAAACTGCTCGCTAAATTGCAGTTACGTAAACGATCGAAATAAAGGAAGAAAAAATGATATCAATCGTCGCCGCGAGCGTTAAACGCGCGGTCGCCGACAGTTGCGCAAAAATGCCTCGCGGTCCGAAATTTCATGTCGCGCGCAAACAACATCCAAGATTCACGCACGGATCTCTTACCCTCTCGAGGAGGTATAAAAGGGACTGAAAAAAATGCAATCCCCCTCCGAAATTACCCGGCTCGCACCGTTATCATGCGGATCGTAAAGCGAACGCCCGCCCTCCTTCCTCCGCTTTCGGATCATAATTCGCCTCTCTTGGTCGAGATTACAGTTACAAACTCCTCTACGAACATTCCAACAGACGAATTTTACGGCCGGCCTGCTTCCTCGAGATTGCATCGATCGAAAAATTGAATCGCGTGGTGTAATCGAGAGAAAAAAATTCCTCGAAAGCTTGGCTAATTTCGATACAACAGGCTTATTCGCGCTATAATACTTTCGTAATAACATCGTGATTTAACATTTCCCGATTTTACAAGTTGTTGCGTAAAGAAATTCTACGCTTTATCCAACAAATAAGAAATATGTAGATAATAAGACTTTAAAAATTAATAAATCGATCCTTAAAAATATCACTGTAGATGAATGTGATTATTCGAAATCTCATGTTGGAAAATAAAACTAAAGAGGAAACAGTTTTTCTCGAGTCATGATGCGCAACTTGAGATCAATTTTGAAAAGGTAAAAGATGCATCGCGATAATTTAATCTGTTCGATCGATGCGCAAAACACTGACAATGAGTCAGCTGATATGATTTTACCACACATGCCGCGTGGATTCCGATAAGCTTATAAAAATCCACTTAAATTGTGCGTTACGGTAAACGAACGCAATCTTTCGCAATCATTCGTTATTATTTCGTCTAATTCCTTCTCCGATACGCGTAATTTTCCCAACACAGTCGGTTGCGCTTTACGCGTTTATCAATAAGACGCTATCGTAAAGTCGGTGAACCGTGGCCGTTACGGCATCGAACATGTTAACTAATATGTCGGCTAAATTTTCTTCATTTGTACTTCATTATACGCGGTTAAGACGGCAATGTAGGAGACGGTAAGCGGGACCGATGAAATAAGTCGAGGCTATTGCGCCGCGAGCAGCAGGCGGCGGTAGCGTTTGAAATGGAACCGATCGAGAAAGCGAGCGACGACGAAATCCGCGCGGAAAAGAACGACTCTAGCGAGTTCTCGCGACAGCCGGAGATCGAGGGGAGGAGAGGCGGAGGAAGAGCCGTAGACGAAGAAGAGAGAAACGACCGTCCGCGCCTCGAGGGTCATCGACATCGTAGGAACGCGAGCTGACCGGCGTTCGTGCTCATTTTCTTTTCCTATACCCGGAGGGTCCTTTTCTTTCTCCTTTTCCCTTCGTCACGCATCTCGGCCTGTCCGTCTCTCCTCTCGGTCCGTCCGTCCCTTTATCGTTAATTTCGCGAGAATCCGCTCGTCCGAAAGCGAACGTCAGCCAACCTCGCGCTAGTCGCCAGCCCGGTCAATGTGCTCTCGCGTGGGTGGACTTTTCGCGCCCGCGACGATCGGGAAAAGCCACGGACAAAGTGCCGGCCTCCTCTAATCGCGCGAAAAACTGCAAGCTCCGGAGACCAGGCGCGATAGAGATCGTTTTGTTGCTTCGCGACACGCCGCCGTCGATACGAAAACACGCCGTTCCACGGTCATTAACCCTTCGACTGCAACGTGCCGCTGATACAGAGTCGTTTCAACTGTTGTGTTTTAGATTACAATACCGTTATCTCGGCTCTTATACGATCGAACAGATTGTCAATAAATACAGGGATTACGTACATACTATATCCAAAAATAACGTAAAAAATTTTAAGTAAGTCATTTTGGGTAATTATATCTTTGTGCAAATTAACATTTTACGCGACGTGCTCAGAATTTTGTCAATCAAAAAATTATTTCAAATTAATTGAGAAAAATTTTAAAAATACGATGAATTAAAAATCATATAATACAATATCATATAATACTTATTTCAATTATTTTAAATTTCGTTTTATTCGTTGATAGAAAAACACACCTCCTTAAAAGTACAGAAATATATCTTCTTACAATTATATAGTTTCTCAGTTAGTTTCAGATCTATTTTAATTAACATTAATTAACTTTCTACTCTATTTTGGCCATGTTACATTTATAAAAAGCCCATCTCTCTTTTTTAAAGCGACTCGCATTGCGACGATGCATTACAGAGATGCGATAAACAATCACGCTGAATTGTACGGTTCGATTTCGCAAGTTATGTCGCGACCTTCCATCGTACAACCTTGCTACTCACCTGTCAAGTACCTTGCTCCCCAACACGCGTGTTGCCTTACGGTACGGCGCTCCATTTCCCTACGCCCGAGAGAGCGGTGGCGACCTTCGCGTTTAATCTTTACGAAGGAGGTGTTGTATATTATCTCGATAAATTGCAATGAAAACGCGATTGATTACGAGAAACAAAGAGAACGAGAGGGATTTTACATGTTTGCACAAAATACAAATTCTCGCTCTTTTATCCGAATCATATTAAAATTCCAAAGGAACAATACTTTTCGAATAGACTTTGGAATTTACGGACTGTATATTAACCAAAAATACATAAATTACGTATACTTTGAGACGCCATTTTTACAGACACACAAAGATAGATATCGATTGAATCAAGCGGCACAATAATCTAATATAAAAAAAATGTAATTATTATATTATAATGAAATTTTTCCCCTACTTGTTCGAGCCAAACTTTAAAACTTTGAAAACGGGAGAAAGGAGGAGAAAGCATATATGCATATAAGCATTGTCTACGTGGGCTGCGTCGTCTACATTATGGTTACGGGTAAGCAGATAATATACAAAGGCTACGCGCGCGCGCACACTTACTGTATATCGCTATCCGCGCCCACTGATACTCTCCTCCTTTCGTTTCGTATGCCGCCGTCGCCGCCATTCGGCTAATTATCGGTACAACTAATTCAGTCTGAACGTCTGGCGAGCCGTGGCGGTGAGTCACTTTAAAGCGGAGGGAATTAGACAAGTTGGCGCAGCCGTTAGAAAGTAGCCGCGTGCGCTAGCTTGGAAAATATATATTTGTCCATCGATTCAGTTGCCGGATATAAAGCGGCGCAATGTCAGCATCGCGTCTGAATCATCCAAGATTTCAATCAGAACATCTAACGCATCCGATTTACGCGGAGCGTCTCGAAACGCGATCGTCTTCCTGTCCAGCTACTGATTTTTCGATTGAGATTTAGCCTCGATGAAAGAAAGACTTGAGAAATTTTATCCTCAATTAATTTTATATAGCTTTCACACGTCAAGAAAAATGTAGCTTTTGAAATCCTAGATATTTAATAACGCATTAATTAATAATTTATGGAAAAATATCTTGTATATAATTACAACAGCTATATTTTCCGCGTTTATATCCATAAGAGAATAAAAATTTAAAGATGGAGAAATTTTATAAGATATTTTTTTACAAATGTATTTAATATAAAAACTCTAAAATGCACGTAATATATGCAAACATAAAAATGTAAGTGGATATAAAACTTTGTCCTCTATTAATTTCATATAATTTCAAGAGAAATCAATCTATAAAATTCTATCAAATTCAATGTAGAAAAGCGCACTAAGTTAACTTTTAATAGCTGGTATAATTATAATAAATTTTTCTTCTTCGATTTTACCTCGATAAGAAATTAAAGAGAAAGTTTGAGAAAATGAATATTTTAAATATCTATCAATATTTCTTTTTAACGTTGACAAAATAGATAGAAAGTTTTCTTCTTTATCGTTAATCATATACATTAGTGGCCTTGTAATAAAAACTTAATAAAAAGTGTACTCACGATCTGTGACAAAACCAACAATTAATTTAACTGTTATTTAATTATGTCTGCAAAGGAAGAGAGACATCTGATGCCAAGGTCACCATACGGTATACATTACGTAGCATTTGCAAATGCATGTTCACCCTATTCATGACGCAAGTGTAATGATGATGTTTATTTCGTAATTATTGCGCGTGAACTTTTGATGCCATCTTAATGCAATATGACCCTTTGCTATTTTATTTTATGACATTTAAATAAATCTTTCGCATCATAAACACCCGCGAAAACTTGTAATAAAATTTAATCGAATATTTTCAATAATATTTGACTGATGTTTAAAAGAAAATTGACGGATTAGAAAATATCGTCAATGTCCATAATTAAAACTATTCCTTTTGTACATAGTCTGAGCAAATTGAAATAAATTCCGCGAATCACTCTTTATAAAAATGTAAATTAATTATTTAATATCGTTACAGCTAAAAAATAATAAATAAAAATAAAATGTTTGCGCCACTAATCATCGTAATCACTGAGACGCGCTAATTGCCGCGAGAATATTACAGAAAGTAGCAAGATTGTAGTGTTTTTCGCTACGTGAGAGCGTAGAGATAATGATAAAAAAAAAAAGAAAAAAAGAGAGAGAGAAACAATCTCTCGAGTACACACAGACTTACCCGTCGCCGTCGAGAGTGATAGCGGTATCGGCTAAAACTCGAAGCACGAGGCCGACAGTCGCCCTGGCGTGGCAATCGATACCGAGAAGGCAGCTCTCCTCGGCGTCCTGCCTTCCCGTGCAGGAGACGACGACGAGGTATCGCGTCCTTCCTGGATGCACCGACTCCAGTTTCACCGCCTGAAAGAAAAACAAAGTCTCCGGTTACTCAGGGCCATTTTTTTTCTTCTAAACATAACTCGCAAATGCAGCGAAGCTTCTACGAATCAAGGTACGTTTTAGTCTCTTGTCGATCGCAAAAACTAAATTACACAATTTATTTCAGACATCTTCGAAAGTGATTGCGACAGTTGTTATCGAAAGAGCAAAACATAAACATGCTAAAACTAATTTTTTACCGCGTAGAGATTTTTCCTTTTCGCGAGAAAAAAAAAGATTTTACGCAAAAAAATATCTTCATAATATTTTCGTATGTATTTCAATATGCAAATTAATAAAAAAAATCAACGCGCAACGTTGAAAATAAATTAAACAAAGATCGAGCTTCGATAGCCTACATGTACTCTTGGAATAAAATCCCGTACGGGGTTAAACGATTAGACGGACCGTTCACGCGATAATTTCGCTCGCTCGATTAAACGTATCGATCGCCGCGATCTCTCGGTAACGAGCGGTTAAAAGTTTCGCCGCCGTCGAATGCACTCGACGCTCCCGAACCGACCGTTTAATTACTTTCACCGATCCGTCTCCTCTCCGCGCGGCTAAATCAAAGAGTAACAGAGCCGCGAAGGAGACGACACCGATTATTACGCGGGAACGTAATCACTCGCATTTCGCGCGCGAGACGATGAGAAATCGGCAATTTCGAACGAGCCGGTCTCTCGAGAGGAAACGTTGCGCTCGACGAACGATCGTTGCACCGATCGCCACTCGCGTCCACTTTACAGGTCGATTCCACAATGCGTTGCGAGTGCAACGACTGGAGCGGAGCGGCCGGTAGGCGTCGACCGTGCATTTTTACGATATATACATATAATGCGGCAATTAACGCTTCCGCGCTCCCCGACCGCGATAACGCGGACCGGATTTCGTCGGCGATTACATCTCGACGCCGCGCGCTCTCGGCGGATGCGATTTTTCTCGAGGAGAAAAAAGAAGAGAGGCAATAAACGCGCTAATCGCGCACCGGCGCGTTCGCGTGTAACGCGAAACGCATTCGCGGCCGCTAATAGATGATAAGTGCCGAGTTATAGGCCGGGGCTAATTAAGTTTCGATACTTTGGAAAGAAAACAACCGATATGTTTCCGCGAATTGGAGCGGAAAGAGGAACGTATACTCGGACAGAGGTATCCCTTTACTTCCTAGTCGAGACTGGATACGATGCTAATTGTGTTTCCGTTTCATGTTTTTAAACTCTCGTATAATCTTATATCATTCGTGTTTTACTATTTTTAGTTGTATCCGAGAATCTCATAAAAGAAAAATATGTAGCGTGAAAGAGATGTAAATAATATTTAATTAAAGGAACATGTATGTTTTGCGGCGTCTCTTTCTCTTTCTTTTAAAAATAAAATTTTCACTAAATGTATTTCCACAAAAACACAAATGATAAATAAAAGAGCTTTCTTAAAAAATTAATTATAATTAAGCTTGCACATGATTAATCTTGTATCACTCGGGCTTTTGTGAAATATGAAATAAAGTATCGAAAGAATAATTTGAATTAAACTAAATTAATAATCCTAAACGTACAATATGAAAAATACATTATAAATATATACGCATACATTAACAAGAATATAATAATTAAAGAAAGTAGTCTGAAACATTTACGATTGTTTCACGTATCCATCTCGCGATTAAGAAAAATTTGAGAATCGATTATTGCACGTTTAACATTATCCGCGACTCGCGAGACGTCGAGCGGAGATTTTCCACTTGTTTCCGAAAGGAGGAAGCAACCGATTAATGCAGTCACGATCTGCCGCTGAACCGTTTCGCCCGTTCCGTTATTAATCATCGAGCGGAACGATTTCCCGATTAATAACGCCGCGATTACACGATCCGTTCGTCCGTGTGCGAGCGTGTCTTTCACGAAGGCGACACGCCGCGAAATCGCGAGAGAAACCCCCGGATCTCTGAGAAAGAGAGAGCGAGGAAATGGCGAAAGTCTCGACGGAAACGGCGAAAAGCGAAAGGCGGAAAGTCGTCGATATAATAAAAGATCTGGCCTTTAGACAGCCGGATAATTATTAATTATAAACAATAAAAATTAGACAACATTTCTCTCTTTCTCGCCGACGCGCCGTCTCCGTTTTCATTATCATCGCGTCATTACTTACGTCATTATGGCCGCGAAAAGCAATTGTTGCCTCGTCGCGAGAAAAACACGTATGCCATTTCACGCGCAAATCACACGTAATAAAAATTGCAAAAAGCCGCAATTTTCAACGTTGAATACGTGTTTTAAATGCAGACGAGAAATGTGATTACGCGATATATGTTGTGGACACTTGCATTTCCAGGCCCGCAATTACGAGTAGTTAACCTCAATGAATAGATAATTAGCTAATTTACGTTCCTTATAAGACACCATAGACCACACGTTTCCTTCCGCAGTTAACGATAATCATGTGGCCAGAGAGGCGGAATGAATAAAATTAAAACAATGTTCTCTCTAGCGAGAGAAATATACTAATACCAGAGGAAAAAATATATATATATATATATATATTATTTATTTATTTATTTATTATACGTATTGTTTTGTCTACATGATATGTATAAATGAAAGAACAAATGTGTGTGCCACATGCGTGTGTGTATTTATTTCTTCAATGTTTGAAAATTTTTAACTAAATTAAGAATAAAAAATTCGTATCTTGTTTATATAAACGTACCAAAACTTTTTAACGAATCTTGTTTTCATGTCACAATGTCTCAAATAGTTTGCCTAGTATTTCTCTCCTTGTATTTATTTATTCTGGTTATTACAATCCAATAATCAGCAACGAACTCAGTCTATCAATCGCATATTCGATGCGCAAAAAGCTCGATTAATACGATTTGATTCAACTCGCAGGTGCTACTTGAAGCAATTGAAGATATAATTTTTCAATGATGTTAACACGAGTCGCTTAAAAATCAAAGAATATATTATATATATACATACATTCTTTTTCTCATACATGTTAAAAAATATTAAGAGAATTTAGTAATTCTTATTTAAATATTACTTCATTATTACATTCATCCCTCTAATCGACTAATTTTGTCAATCTCTAAATCAACGCTCTGTATTAACGTCAAAAAATTTTAATTAGACATTTTTCTTAGAATATATAAATCATAAGAGTGATATTCTTCCATCAAGAATATTAGTGGCGCTATCTTAATAATTGCAATTTTCCACAAGTCATAGTGAAATAGACAAGTAAAAGTCCAAAGGCAAGATTTTTATCTTTTATTTGTGAAACGAATAATCTTTTTGACGCTTGGCACGTTGAAACTTTCTGATTGTAATTAAGGCGCGCATCTCGCAAAGATCTTTGATGCAAAAGTGCTTTAAAATTAACGTACTCGCGAAACGTGGCATAAAAATTAAACGACAGTGTCGAGAAAATTTTAATAACAAAGTAGCAACCACACGTAGCGAATTATTAGAATCCGCCAGCGTGGTTGACAATTAAAGTCAATCAATTACGCTTTAATGACAACCAGTGTAAACATGTCGGCGTATTATCCATGATATTATCCATGATAATCCATCTACGATAATTATCATACTTTTCATCGTCTAAAAACAGGATTAAAGTGCTCAAGCATCGGAAACAAGAGTGATTACTTTTACAGTATTTCGCATTATTTCGCATTTCTCTCGACATTTTTATTCGTGTCAAATAGCTCTCTTTTCATTTATTAATTTCTTAGCCTGCGTGAACTTTTTATAAGACAGAGTTTAATTAGACGTCATTTTATTCGACTCAATTTTATTCGACTTTTAATTTCTAATGACACTTTAATAATTGGAATTTAAATAAATGCTAAGGAGTAAAGTTGAACTAAAATTAATTGCAGAATAAAATCTAATTTATAATATTAAAATTACAATTCCAGGCTGTGAAATACCAACTGGTATATCCTCCTTCTATATCAACTGCTTCTTTCTTCTTTCGTCTTTCTTTGTATAAGCGTCGCAGATGATATATCGGACACGTGTCAGCCTATACGATCCGAGATGTATGAGATTAGGAGAGAGATGTGTGCCATTAAGATCGCTCGCCTTAGAAATTGTGTTTCGATCGCGATATGTCGAATCGCGATGGAAAGAAAGTCGAAACTGGAAGTCGAACAACGATTAGATTTACATATATTGACTATCGTACAGCGTTCGTTCTCATTTTGGCGAGTCGCTCTTGTACAAAATTAGAACCGAGTGAAATGGCGAAATATTTGAGCGATAAATATTCAACATTTTGCAGGGTGTAATTTTATAATTATATATATATATATATATATATATATATTTATAAATATGAAATTATTAATACGAAATAAGTATAAATAGTATTTGAACGAATTGGGGATATATTATTTACGGATATTGTATCTTAGATAATTCTTTGTAACAAAAACTGCTATAAATGAATTAAACATATACACAATTTAATATTATTAACGCAATTCTCTATTAATATTCACTTGTTGTTGACGATAATAACTCAGTTAATAACTACATATTATGAAATTATATATTTAAAATTATATCTAGTATTTCTATGTAAAGTAATTTCTACACGCACGCATGCACGCATGTACCCACGCGCTATAATTTTTAATTCGAATCATGTCCATAATGTTTTTTATTAAATTAATCAACTAGAAGAATAATTTTAACAACAATTTATATATATTATTTAAATTGAATTTTTTTATATAATAAATATTATCTCGAGAAAAGACTAGGACTAGAACAAAGCGACTGAGAATCACTGACTTTTGTAAGCAAAGAACCGAGTGCCTCGACATCGCGCATGTAATTTTATTTAGGTCACGTGACACCGAAATTACAGTCCACATCGTGGTTGCGTGCTTCGTCTCGGGGGTCCACTTTCAGCCGTTTAATCTCTCGGAGGAGTTTCTCGCTACAACGCCTAAACGAGATAATCGTTATCGAAAG